AGGGTCTCACACAGATGAGCCCTGTACCAGCTACATCCCAGCCCTGGTGATTTGTTAAAGGAGGGTGGCTAAGAAACTAAGAGTGATGGACTGGATTGGCTCAGAGAAGGGGGAACTTGAGAGGCACTGTGTTCAGTTCACCTGTGATCTTAATTCCATTTATCCATCAAGATTCAAAATCAGATCTCTCCTCCTCCATGTAACTTTCCAGACTTCCCCTACAGAAGGGGTCACTGCTTTCACCTTTGCTTTTTTCATGGCAATTGCTCTCTCTCTGGTTTCATAGATGGTGTGTAGCCATGTCATCTACCTTTGAACACAGCTTCCTAAAATTAGGCCTTACACTTTAATCTCTCCTAAACCTCCTACTGATACTCCGTGTAGGCTCAGAGGCATAGACGAAAGGCCCCCAGGACAGTAGCTGGAGCCTGCCAACAAACTGGAACACTGCTGAACAACTTCTCCATTGTTTTCTTTTTAAAGATTTATTTATTTTTATTTTATGTGTAAGAATGTTTGCCTGCATGTATATGTGTGCACAGCATGCATGTCTGGTGCCCACAGAGGCCAGAAAAGAGCACCAAATACCCCAGAATTGGAGTTGCAGATGGTTGTTATCTGCCATATGGGTGCTGGGAAACCAACCCAAGTCCCCTGCAAGAGCAGCCAGTGCCCTTAACTGCTGAGCCATCTCTCCAGCCCCAATTGTTTTCTTTCATGTCAGGAGGGCAGGGCTAAAGTGTAGGAGTGGATTTGGTGACAATTGATCAAGCCGATCTCTTCCTTGTACAACTTATGTGTCACTGGCAGAGTTATCACCAAATAAATATTTAGAATGGAAAACTTTTTTGATAGTCTGTGAGCCAGACCTTTAACAGCTGTGCCAGTTCTCTAGCCCAGAAACTTTACTTTTTTGAAAGGTATGGAGGAGAAAGGGTGAGGGGGAGTGATGGGGGATCTTTTTTCTTCTGATTCGGATAGAAATTATGGATAACTCCCCAGTACCTGCATAAATGAAATGATTAACTTTGCTACTCCAGAAAAAAAATTTTAATCCCAAAGTCATTTATTTTGGCTTTAAAATAGACTAGCATTTGTGTCAGATTTTTCCTGCCTAATTACTTTTTGCTTAAGCTTATTTTTAAATTGTTTTAAATTCCTTTAGTATGACAGCCTAGGAAGTGGGGGTGAAAAAATGGGCCGCAGATGGGATCTGGGCTAGAGTTTCCGTTTTCCTGTATTAAAGCCTCCTGTTGTTCCGCTCCTGGGAGAGCCGCCTTGGAGTCAGCTTTGTGCAGAGCAGTTTGGCAAAATGGCTTTTAAAGTCTTAAAATATGCTTACTCTTTGATCCAGTAATTCCACTTCTAGGAATTTGTCCCAATGAAATAATCAAATAAGCCTGCAGAATGCAGGGACAACGATATTCACATTTATATCAGCAAAAAAGTAAAACCAACTTGACATTGAACAATACAGAATTGATTAAAGTATGCCGTTGTCTCTGCGTATCAAAACTGTGGACTTTGGAAATGCTTTCCATGTTTTTCTAATTGAAAAAAAGACTATATAGTAGTATATGCAGCGTCAAACAGTACCAGATAAGGAAAAGAATATTTAGGGGCTGGAGAGATGGCTCAGTAGTTAACAACACTGGTTGTTCTTGGCCGGGCGTGGTGGCACAGGCCTTTAATCCCAGCACTCATGAGGCAGATGCAGGCGGATCTCTGTGAGCTTGAGGCCAGCCTGGTCTACATAGTGAGTCCAGGCCAGCTGGGGCTACAGGGAGACCCTGTCTCAAAAACACCAAAAAAAAAAAAAAAAAAAAAAAAAAAACCCAAATCCCAAACAAACAAAAAAGAACACTGGCTGTTCTTGCAGAAGACCAGGGTTCAAATCCCAGCACCCACATGGCAGCTAACAGCTGTCCATAACTCCAGTCCCAGGGGATCCAACAGCCTCTTCTGACCTCCGAGGGCATTGCACAACACGGGTGCACTTACCTACATGTAGGCAATACACACATACACATAAAATAAAAACAGTTAAAAAAAAAATTTGCTTAGCCAGGCATGGTGGCGCACTAGAGAGGCAGAGGCAGGCGGATCTCTGTGAGTTCAAGGCCAGCCTGGTCTACATAGCAAGTTCTAGGCCATCTGGGGCTACAGGGAGACCCTGTCTCAAAAAGACCAAAAAAATTGTTTAATATATCAACAAAAAATATTTTGCAGCTAGTTGTGGTGGCGTAGGCCTATAATCCCAGCATAGAGAGGCTGAGGCAGGAGAGTCAGGAGTAGAAGACCATCCTGGGCTACCTACCTCAGGCACTGTTTCAGAAGACAAAACCAGGGGCTGGAGAGGTGGCTCAGTGGTTAAGAGCACTGGCTGCTCTTGCAAAGGATCTATTTGGGTCCCAGAACCCACATGGCAGCTAACAACCATCCATAACTCCAGTTCCAGGGGACCCAGTGCCCTCTTCTGACCTGCCTGGGCAATGCACGACATTGGTGGCACACTTACATGCAGGCAATACATTCATACACATAAAATAAAAATAATAAATGCTTTTTGCCGGGCGTGGTAGTGCACGCCTTTAATCGTAGCACTTGGGAGGCAGAGGCAGGCGGATCTCTGTGAGTTCAAGGCCAGCCTGGTCTACATAGTGAGTTCCAGGCCAACTGGAGCTACAGGGAGACCCTGTCTCAAAAAGACCAAAAAATAAAAAAATAAAAATAAGTGCTTTTTTAAAATGACAAAACCAAAAAGAGGTCAGAGAGATGACTTGGCAGATAAAGACACTTGCCACCAAGCCTGACCATCCTGAATTAGATTTCTTGGACCCACATGGTAGCTTGAAAGAGTCAGTTCTCTCCTGTCTTCTGACCACCACACATGTGCTGTGACACATGTGCCCCAACATGAACAAAATAAATAAAATGCAATACAAAAATAATTAATTAACATTTTGTGGGCTGGGCATGCTAGCACATGCCTATAATCTAAGCTGTATAGGAAGCTGAGGCCACAGAACAGGTGTTCAAGGCCAGCATGGGCTGCAGCACCAAAAGAGCAGGACACTAGTCTTGAACAAAAATCCTCAAAAGTAAAATTTTGATATGCCCATAAAGTAGGCAATCTGAATGCAAATAATTAGACTATGTTGGAGATTTCTTGGGAGGTACATTCTTTGACACTTTCATATATATATGTAATATATTTTGGTCATAATCATCCCATTACCCTCATCTTGTCCCTCTCCTACTGAAACTCTTCTTCCCAACAAGCAAGTTCTCGTCATGCTTTCTCCTCTTCTTCCTCCTCCACTTCCTCTCCCCTCCTCCTTTTTTGTGATCCACTGAGTTTAATTAGGTTGCCTGCATGAACATGGGTAATAAGTTATTTACTGGAGGATAGCAACTAACCACTGGCCACACATGGAAGAAAATGACTCCTCCTCTTTTTTCTGAGACAAGATCCCATAACCCAGCCTGGCCTCGAACTCACTATGTACCTGAAGATACCCTGGAGCTCCTTATTCTGCCTCCACATCCCAAGTGCTAGGATTATAGGCATGTACCACCACACTCGGCTGAATGTGTTTTCTTAAGGGTCATATTCATACATGTGAACTGTCAACACTCATGCTGACAGCATTGAAAGTTAGATGTTACGGGCCTGGAGAGATGGCTCAGCGGTTAAGAACACTGGTGGTTCTTGCAGAAGACCCGGGTTTGAATCACAGCACCCACACAGCAGCTAACAACTATCCGTAACTCTAGTCCCAAAGGATCTGGCAGCCTCTTCTGACCTCCTTGGGCATTGCATGACACGGGTGCAGTTACCTACATGCAGGCAATACACAAATACATATAAAAAATAAAATAAAAAATCAGATGTACTCTATTACATATTAAATTGTTTTCCCAGTAAAATAACTACATTCGATGTTTGTGGAGCTGCAATTAGAATGCATGTGGTATCCTGTTTTCTGATTCCAGCCCTCTGGAGGTAGACTCTTCCTGAGCCAGGAGAGCCACAGCTATTTCAAAGCTACAGAGACTAGTAGGTTTTCTGTGAACTACAGTCATGTACAGCCTAATGATATTTCTGTCAAGGACAGACAGTAGGTGGTCCTATAAGATGGTATCACCTAACCTGCTTTTAGTTTGTGTAAGTATACTCTGTGATGTTCCAACAGTGATAGAAGTACCCCACCATGTTCTTAGAACACATTCCCATCAACAAGCACTGCATGACTGTGTACTCTTAAAATTATATTGCCCAAAGAACAAGGATACCAAGAATCTTCCTAAGTCATTCCTAGTGAAAATATTTACTGTTCCCCCCTTTCTTTATCACCACCTTAGAACTCTGAATCCCAAGGTCCAGATGTGAAAGAGTTAGAAAGTGTGTAAATGATGAAAACCACTGTAAGCTTCTGCTGACCCCCAGATGCCTCTTGGCTCACATTAAGGAACTCTGCTTTATGTGATCAGCTGCAGGGGACATTGTTCTTCAGTGTCTGCAGGCCTCCATTCTGTTTACTTGATAGGGTTCTCTCTTATTTGTAGTCCCTAAATTCCCAAGATACCACATGCCTTCTCTGTAAAAAAGGGCTTGAAGGTCTGCCTTCCTGTCCTCCGAGGTCAGATAGAAAAGCTTTTTGTGATTAACTTGGCCACTGTATGCCCTTTGGTGTTTAGAACTTCAGGGGGAGTATTTTATTAGTTCTCCAAGTTTTGATCATTGACCCAAATAAGCTTCATATGATGGAAAAAAAGCAGGCAAATCTTGTTCTTTTAACATCATATTGAATCCTGGTTCTTCCACTAGCAATGACCTTGGGCAAGCTGACTCACTCTGCCAGTGACTGCCACCTCACTTAGGACGGCTGAGCGGCTCACTTCACAGAACTGTTTCTCATCCACTGAAGAGCCTTGTTCCAGTGGGGACAGTTGTGGTCTTTATAAACACACAGCTTCTCCCACTTTGTTTCTGACAGTTTCCTTATGCTGCCCCACCTCCCCAAGAACCCGTGAAGACGCTGAGAAGCCTGATCAACATCCGAAAGGACACGCTGAGACTCGTCAAGTAAGTCCCTGAGGGCTCAGGACAGGCCCCAGGTGCCCTCCTGCTTGCAGGGCAACAGATACTCTATGGGAGTTGAAGAGCAGCTGCTGGGTCTAGAGGATGCCAACTACCAGGCCCTACTGAAGCACTGGGCCTGCATAGATGAGGCATCTCCACACCTGTATTATGCAGAATGTGGGCACTAGTCTGTATAAAAAGAATTTACACCAGCCCAGACATTTTAAATAGTATCGTTATTTTGTGGATTTGAAAACAAAGGAAAAATAATTTTTTAATTAAAATTTTAATTTAGTTTTATTTTATGTGTATGAGTGTTTTTGCCTGCATTTAAGTGCACCTGTGTTGTGCAGTGCCTGCAGAGCCCAGAGGTGTCAGATCCCTTGGAACTGGAGTTATGGAAAGTTGTCAACTGCCATGTGGGTGATAAGAACCTAACCCAGATCTTCTACAAGAACAGCCAGTGCTCTTAACCGCTGAACTGTCTCTCCAGCCCTAAAAAGAAGAATTATTAAAGGAAAGGGGGAAGTTTGTAGATACCCCAACAAGCTTATGTAATAATGAAATGTTTCAATTAGAAATATAAAATCCTATTTTAAGTTGGTCATAGCAGTATACTCCTGTAGTCCCAGCAGTCAGGAGGTAGAGGAGGGAGAATTAAGAATTGGAAGCCAGCTTCGGCATCACCACAAGACCGTCTCAAAAAACGATGACAGGCCAGGCAAGGTGGCACACGCCTTTAATCTCAGTACTTGGAAGACAGAGGCAGGCGGATTTCTGTAAATTCAAGACTAGCCTGGTTTACATAGTTCCAGGCCATCAGGGCCTATATGATGACTCTTTAGAAAAAAGATAACAAGGCTGAGCATGCTGGCCCACAACTGTAGTTCCAGCACTCAGGAGGCAGAGGCAGGGGACCTGTATGAGTTCAAGGCCAGCCTGGTCTACATAGCAAGTTCCAGGCTAGCTGGGACTATAGGGAGTTCCCCTGTCACAAAAATACAAAAAAAAAAAAAAAAAAAAAAAAAAAAAAAAAACGCAGAGTGTTTATTTTACTTTCGGCTTCTTTTGATAACAAGCTTAGTGAACCAGCTGTGCATGTAAATGTCTCTAAGGGTACAGATAAACTATCAGAGAATTTGCATTGGAATTCAGGATGAGTGTATGAAAAAACAAGAAACAAAAAGCCCAAAATGAGCACTAACTCTAGGAGAGTTGGACAGGAAAAGAAAGCCAATCATAGATTACTCTGTAGCTAAACCGTGAAAAGCACTGATGTAATCACAGCATTACAGACTCTAGGTGCTGTGCTATTAAAGTCACAGTGTCCCTACACTGTGGGGATGGCAGAGTGAGGAAGGAGAGAAACCCTCATGTCTGAAGTGGGAGATCAGTAGATGGTGTCTGAGACTGAAAGATCACAACGCCGTGGTGGCATGCTCTTTAGAAATGCCATTAAATTGCCAAATCCTTACCCAGAAGTTACAATGAGGAGGAAGGCTGGCTGTTTTTTAAACATGCCTTGTGGAAACTAAGCCATGTGATTAAGAACCTCGATTAAAATAAAAAACAAGAAAGGTTTAGCACAGTACTCACACAAGGCTATTCATTCACCATACACTGAAATTTCATCAATAACCTAAATACGCAGTAAAAAATGGTCCTGTGATATTCACAATGAAGACACAAACGTGTTAATTACTGTGCAGACACCCACAATTCAATGTTGTTTTTTAAAAAGAAAGCAAGTCTTAAAATCCTGATACACTGCTTCCAAAGGCTGCCTTTTATGGTCTCCCAGATGTGCTGAGGAAGTGAAGAGCCCTGGAGAAGAGGCAGGCAAGGCTAAGGTCCACTACAACGTTGAATTCACCTTTGACACGGATGCCCGGGTAGCCATCACCATCTATTATCAGGCCACTGAGGAATTCCAGAATGGTATTGCCAGGTGAGGTAGCGTAACGGGTTGAGCTCCTTCCTTCCCAGCTTTCTGTGCCCACCTAGGAAGGACTATATTCTTTTTCTATGCCCAAATAGGATCTGGTCCCTGAATTTCGGTTTTTTGAAAGCCTTACTCTTTAGCTTCCTTTCTATGGCAGTATGGTTTGACTAGATAAGCCTAGTAATATTACCAGGCTAGAACAAGAGAGATGGGTTAGAAGAGCAGTTTTCTTCCTGAGCTAGTGTCTGTTGGAAATTGAGAACAGGCGTGAGACAGTGGGAACTGTCAGACTGTCTGGGTTGAATTCTAACTTTAGCTCCTCTTTCTACTTTATCCATAGCTACATTCCAAAAGACAACAGTCTACAGTCAGAGACCGTGTACTACAAGCGAGGGGTGTGCCAGCAGTTCTGCCTGCCCTCCCACACTGTGGACCCCTCAGAGTGGGAGGAAGAGGAGGTGAGCTGCCTCTGTTGAGGGTCCCCCTGCATCCCTACAGAAGGATCCAGGAGCTAATGTTAGGACCAATGCCAGCAGCAGGGACTCTAGATGCTGGAAGGTCATGTTCAACCATGGAGCCTGGTGGCTTCTTCATGCCCTTAAAAGGTCTGCTTAGTTCCCATTAAGGATATGCCTATCCCTATTCATTCAAAGTAGCCTGTTAACTGAGGCTACCATAAGAAAACCATGCTTAAAGGAAAGGAACTGCAGAGTAGGGACCTTTAGATGAAACAGGTGGCCTTCACTTAAACAGGCTCAGGCGGTTAGTTGCAAGTTTGATGGCTGAGGCTCAGAGATGAAATTAATGCTTCTTGGTAGCACCTCCTGTTTTGCTGGACCACTGAACCATCCAAACATACAGCATCTTCTGTGTGTTTCTTTTCTTCCCTACAGCTCGGCTTTGATCTGGATCGAGAGATTTACCCTTTGGTGGTGCATGCTGTAGTGGATGAAGGAGATGGTAGGAGGACTTCTGTCTTCTTTGCTGTGCCCACTGCCCTCTTGTGGTATCATCCTAGCAAAAGTTGTGGTCCAGAACCATCACCTCTGTGGTCTCAGTCAGGCAGTGTCTGCCTCCTTCATGTCCTGTGAAGGGCGGCCTTTATGATGTGTGCCTGCTGGTGGCAGCCCAGCACCATTGGTCTGCCAGACTGCAGGTTATAGGGATAGGGGAGACCGAGAGGGTTGGGGTCAGGGCACGCATGGAAATGTGTTGTTTGGCCTTCTTCATCTGTTTCTTTCAGAGTATTTTGGCCACTGCCACGTGCTTCTGGGTACTTTTGAGAAGGTACGTAACTTCATGATGTTTTGCCCTTCTTTCTCCTGAAGACAGCCTGTTTGCTGAGTACTGAGCTCAGCAGAATAGCCAACTTGAGAGACTTTCACTAAAAGAGCATCATACTGCGGCTGTGCCCAGGCAGAGTTAGCTCCACCCTCCTGCTGCATGACCTTCAGTCCTTAGGCTTCATTGTCCTCTTCATCACATGAACATGATCTCTCTGAGGTCCTTGGAATCTGAGGTCCTGTTGGCCCGCTCCATGAGTGTCTGAGAACATGTCATGAGAAAAGTAGGGACAGAATCCAGGCTGCCTTCTGCCCTCCCCTCCTGGTCATAACATCCTGTTTTCATTCCAGCACACAGACGGGACTTTCTGTGTCAAGCCCCTCAAGCAGAAGCAGGTAGTAAGTATCTGAGGGCTGGGAGCCTGTAGTCCTCTTCTTCTCTTTCTTTCCTTATGGTCTTTTTTGTTGTTGTTTTTGGTCTTTTTGAGACAGGATCTCTCTGTAGCCCCAGCTGGCCCTGGATTCCTATAGAGATCAGGCTGGCCTTGAGCTCACAGAGATCTGCCTGCTTCTGCCTCCAGAGTGCTGGGACTAAAGGCGTGCGCTACCAGACCCGGCCCCTTATGGTCTTTGAATGTTTTTGTTGTTGTTTTTGTTTTGTCTTGTTGCTAAGTACTCTTGTTTCTTTCCCCTCTCCTCCTCCCTCCTCTTCCTCCTCCCTCCTCTTACTCCTCTTCCTCCTCCTCCTCCCTCTTCCTCCTCCTCTCTTCCTCCTCCTCCTCCTCCTCTTCCTCCTCCTTCTTTTAAGTTAAAGAAGATTAAAAAACGACGGTGTTTTTGTCTGCTAGAAACTACTTGGGTGGCCTGAAAGGAACACTGACTTTTGGTGTCTTCATTGTTCTGGGATTTTTGCTGCCTCCCAGGCCACAGTTATCTGAGCAAAGGACTTGAGAAATGAAAGGATAAGATTTGTCTCCTGACATTAGGTTGAAGGAGAACTCTTTTTATTTAAAATGCCATAATGAGAAACATTTCAAGCAAAAGGATAGGCCCAATTCAGGGCCAATTAGAGCCCTTAGCATAATTTATCCCAGCATTCCTTTTCTAAAATTCAGTTTACTGACCATCTGCCCCCTTCAAGAATGATCTGCAAGATTTGTGCCTGTCTGCTGGAATGCCTAGCCCCCACCTGTGCCAGAACTTTTCACTTTGGCAGAGGTAGGAGATGTCATGGAGGAGGAGGAACAGGCAGAGCCAGTGGTATTGGCAAGGGAGGATGGGAGATGCCAGGTGTGGTAGCTCATAACTGTAATCCCAGTACTCAGGAAGCTATACATCAAGACCCTGTCTCAAAAGAAATGAAAAAGGAGGGTTGGAGTGAGATGGTTTATCATGAAGAGGGTGGGAGGCAGGCTTGGCCTTTGTTCATACAGAAAGGAAGACCCCCCCTACATGTGGATGATAACTGAAATTCTAAATTGTTCATTCTTTTGGGTTAAGTACTTGTCCCATTTAATGGAGTTGATAGCAGTTAATAATTCCTTAGTATGAATTAGTTGATTTATGTCCTTTTCAATATAATTGCTAGGTTAAGACATGTAGAGAGGCAGAGGAGGCCATAGATCCTGAGCCCATTTTACTTTCTGGGTAGGTCCAGCCTGGTAAGTCACCTCGTGGTGAAGGCTTCGTTATACAGAAGACCTGAATGTGTTCAAAAGGCCAGGATTGCTACAGAATTAAAAAAAAAAAATGTTTATCTGTTTTCTTATTTCTGGTTTGTGTTAGCAACAGACTGCCAAACTGGATAGTGGGATATGAAATCAGAGATAGGCTAGGTCTATGGGAACAAGACCTCTGGAAGCAGAGGTGAGGCAGAAGGAAGGAGTAGGCTTCTGAAGAAGGGAAAGGCCCCCTGTGACAGATGTAGGGCCCAGTCTTTGGGAGTGGGACTGGGCATGACTGATTGGGTTTTAGGAAACAAAGGCCTAGGGCTGGAGAGATGGCTCAGCAGTTAAGAGCACTGACTGCTCTTGCAGAGGACCCAGGTTCAAGTCTCAGCACCCACATGGTACTAACAACGGTCTGTAACTCCAGTTCCAGGGGATCCGATGCCATCTTCTGACCTCCATAGGCATTGTATGACACGGGTGCACTTATACACATGCAGGGACTACACTAATACACATAAAAGTTTTTTTTTCTTTAATTTTTTAAAATTTTTCCAAAAAGAAGAAAAACAGGGCAGAGCTGAGCATGGTGACTCATGCCTGTAATCCCAGCCGGCCTGGGCAAAATGGCATCAGACCCCATCTCAAGAAACTCAGAGAAAGAGATGGGATTGTAGCTCAGTGATAAACCTTTTGCCTGGCATTCACAAGGCCCTAGATTCCCTCTGCAGTGCCAACAACAGCAAAAATTAAATAATAAATCATAGCTGGATGTGATGATACATACCTGTAATCCCAGCATTGGGAGGCTGAGGCAGGAAGATCATGAGTTTTGAGGCTAGCCTGTGTTACACAGGGACACACAGACACACATGCGCACGTGCACACACACACACAAGGTCCTGGGAAGGGCAGGCAACATTCCCATAGTCTCAGATACTCCAGAGACTGAGGTCAGCCTGAACAACATAATAACCCCCCATCTCAAAACAAAACACAGAAAAGCAGAACAAGAAAAGGAACAAGTCACATGGGTAGTTTTGCTGCACATTAGAATGCAGGGGTGGGGTGGTGGGCCAGTGGCTCAGCAGTAAAGGTACTTGCCATGCGAATCCTGATGACCTGAGTTCAATCCCAGGAACCCACAGTGGAAAGGAGAGAACCAGTTCCCCAAAGTTGTCCCCAGACCTCCACATACGCTCCATGGCATGTCCAGGCCCACACTCATATTCACAACATATCATGCATACACACACAATAATAATAAATAAAAATTTAAAGACAGCCAAGCCATGCAGGGTGTGGTGGTGTGTACCTTTAATCCCAGCCCTCAGGAGGCAGAAGCAGGTGGCTCTCTGTGAGAAGAAGGCCAGCCTGGTCCACAGAGACTTCTAGGCAGTCTGGGACTAGGGAGACCCATAAAAAAAAAATTGGGGCTGGAGAGATGGGTCAGTGGTTAAGAGCACTGGCTGCTCTTGCTGAGGACCTGGGTTGATTCCCAACACCCACAGGGTCGCTAACAGCTGCGTGTAACTCAAGTTCCAGAGGAATCTTATGCCCTCTTCTGAACTCCAAGGGCATTACACAACACAAGTACACTTATATACATGCAGGCAATGCATATATATATATATATTAATAAGTCAGGTGTGGTGGTGCACTCCTTTAATTCCAACACTTAGGAGGCAGAGGCAAGTGGATCTCTGGAAGTTCAAGGCCAGCCTAGTCTATATAGCAAGATCCAGGCCAGCTAGGGCTACAGGAAGACCCTTTCTCCAAAAGACCCAATAATATTAAAAAAAAACCAGCCAGGCCTGATGGCACACATCTTTAATCCCAACACTTAGGAGGTAGAGGCAGTTGGATCTCTATGAGATTGAGACCAGCCTGTTCTACATAGCAAGTTCCGGTCCAACTGGGGTTATAGGGAGATCCTGTCTCTGAACAATAACAACAACAACAGAAATGGGGAGTAGTTTCATGGTATGCTCTAGCGGCTTCTCCTTCAAGGTCCTACATTTCCCTTTAGAGTCTGGCTATGTAACCTCAGCTGGCCTGTTACTTGGCTTCCCGCGTGCTGGGATGATAGGCATGTGCCACACTTTGCTTGTATCTCCCTTTCAGCCGTATTTTTCTTTCTTCCTTTCTACTTTCCTTTTTTTTTTTTTTTTTTTAGTGGAGTGGTGGGAGGGATTTCATATATCCCAGGCTGGCTCAAACTCACTATGAAGCCAAGGGTAACCTTGAACTTCTGACCCTTCTGCCTCTACTTCTTGAGTGCTGGGATTACAGGTGTATACCACCACTCCCACGTTGTATGCTGTGACTGAACCCGCCTTGTGCATGCTAGGCAAGCACCAGGCCAACTGAGGCACATCCCCAGCCTCCCCATTCCATTATTTTTGTAGTATTTGAACTGGCATTTTCTCACATAACTAATGCTTGTATTTTGACATATACCCTTCCATCTTCTTTCTAGTATGTGCCTTTCTTAACAGTCAGTTTAGTGAGCTACAATGCAGATATTATTGTCACTTTTTTTTTTTTTTTTTGAGACAGGGTCTCCCTGTAGCCCCAGCTGGCCTGGAACCCACTGTGTAGATCAGGCTGGCCTTGAACTCACAGAGATCCGCCTGCCCCTGCCTCCTGAGTGCTATTGTCACATTTATAAATTGTTATGTTCCCTGTTATCCAAATGGTAGGTGAATTAAACATTTGATTTTCTTTCCACTCTCAAAGAGCAAAAACATAAGTAAATAAAAGCATCCTTTACTTGTCTAGGCTGTTGAGCTTCTGGGGAGGGGGCTGGGACTTCTCTTGTCGGTTCAGTTGTAAGCCTGTCCTTGAACTTCACTGTTTGCTGTTCAGGTAGATGGAGTCAGCTACCTCCTTCAGGAGATCTATGGAATTGAAAACAAGTATAACACACAAGATTCTAAGGTAAGTTTTGTATAAAATTCAGGATTCACTCTTCCCTAGAGGCAAATGAGAAGCTCTATTCCAGCTAGGACTGTGGATCAGGAAGCAGGCCAGGGCCTAGAATATTCCCCACTCCTCATTTCAGGCCATCAGCTGATATCACTTTGGAAATGAACAGAATGGGCTGCCCTGGGTCTGTCCTTCTACTCCGGAGCTCTGTTGAACTCTGCCTCCCGTGAGGGTCTTGCATTTCCCCTTCCCCTTCATCTGTGGCTCTCCTAGGTACCTTCAGCTCAGACCCTAAGAGGAAGCCAGAGCTGTCCACAAGGATGACCTAAGGGAGTTAGTACAACCTTTTGACTTGAGACAAGCAGTTCCTAGAGGCAGGGGAACTAAGCTTGCAAAAGTACTGCACAAACTGAAGTCCAGTGTCGATACAGATATTATTCAGTGTCTGATCTCTTTAGCTACCTTGTAAATCAAGTATAGGAAACAAGAGGCTTTGTGTCATTGCCTAAATTTCTGTCTGTCTGGCCAGGTGGCTGAGGATGAAGTGAGTGATAACAGTGCCGAGTGTGTGGTATGTCTGTCAGATGTCCGGGACACCTTGATCCTGCCCTGCCGCCACCTCTGCCTCTGTAATACCTGTGCAGACACCCTGCGCTACCAGGCCAACAACTGCCCCATCTGCCGGCTGCGTAAGTTCTGGAGGGGCATGAGAGTGGGAGCCGGAAAGGCAGCACAAAACAACACACTGCTGCTGGGTGTGGCAAATGGATGGCTTCTGGAGAGGCATAGTTTCTGCCTGGGCTCCTGCTCACCCTTAATCCTGAAACAGGATGTCCTGATGGCTGATTTTCTTCTTTACAGCCTTCCGGGCACTGCTTCAGATCCGAGCCATGAGGAAAAAATTGGGCCCTTTGTCTCCTACCAGCTTTAACCCCATCATTTCATCCCAGACATCAGACTCTGAAGAGCATTCGGTAAGCTGGGCTCAGAAACATGGCCTCTTGGAAGCAGCTACTTTCTAGTATCCTTGCTGGTTTTCTGTGGGTTTTATTTTGAGACAGGGTTTGGCTATGTGGCCTTGACTTAGAAGTCACTATGTAGACCAGACCAGGCCTCAAACTCACAGTGACTCTCCTGCTTCTGTCTCCCAAGCACTAGGATTATAGGTATGAGCCACCACACCCACTTTTGTCCTTCTTTACATGACATTGCATCAAAGAATTAAACCTGGGCACACTGAAGGATTTACAAGGCTGGCTGGGATCATGTTATGTTAAAACTTACAAATATTGGGGCTGGAAAATTGGCTCAGCTGTTATGAGCACTGGCTGCTCTTGCAGAAGGTCTGGGTTTGGGTCTCAGCACTCACACAGCAGCTAACAACTGGCCATAACCCCAGAACTGATGCTCTCTTCTGGCCTTTACAGGCACTGCACACATTTGATGTGCTTATACACAATTGTTAGCTGCTGTGTGGGTTCTGAGAACCAGACCCAGAACAAAGTGGGAAACAATCCCCTCCAGCACTCATCCATTTGCCACCTGAGAGGTGGCTGTCGTAAACAGTAGAAAAAAACCTGGAAGAAGCACTAGAGTGCCAGCAAGTTACTCTGGATGGTCAGTTATTGGTGATCTGTTTTCATCTTCGATGTGTTTCCCAGATTTCCTGTAACGAGTATTTGTTTCTATTGTCCTCAGAAAACAGACATTATGAAGAATGACTTAGGAGCCTATAACCCTTTACCACTTTTTCCTTTCCTTATGTTCAGTACAGAAGCTGTTCCTCCAATTAATTTAAAAAATTAATGTCAGTAGGAAACATGATCATGCACAAAACAAAAAATACCTAATTAATTTTTCAACCTGTTTCTGACTCCCCTAGTCCTCAGAGAATATTCCACCAGGCTACGAAGTGGTGTCTCTTCTGGAGGCCCTCAATGGGCCCCTTACCCCATCCCCAGCAGTCCTTCCACTCCATGTGCTTGGAGATGGCCACCTCTCAGGAATGCTGCCTTCCTATGGCAGTGATGGCCACCTGCCCCCTGTCAGAACACTGTCCCCCCTCGACCATCTGTCTGATTGCAGCAACCAAGGACTCAAGCTCAAAAGGAGTCTATCCAAGTGAGTAGCCACTCTCACCCACGTTGTCCTGGATCATCTTTGAGAACCTTCAAAACTGTCTTTCCCTCTTCAGTACTGTGATGGTCACATCCTGGGTGGATCTTCTCATTTTTCCCAGTGCTGCTCAGTCTCAAAAAGACCTGAGTAGTAGGTACCCTTGCTGGGTGGAAGAGAGGTTACCCCAGAGATGGAAATAAAATGTGTACAGGTACTTAGGAAAGTTCCATTAGACAAAATTTCTTGTGTTCCTTGGTAGAGGGGGTGTTGTAAAGGGAGGAGGACACTGAGCACCATAGAGGGAGTCCCTCAGGGACCAGGGATCCTGGCCTCATCTTGAGATGGAAGGATCCTCAGGGCTCTGCCCCTGAGCATTAAATTTGGCAGGACAATCCCAACACAGTTGCTGTGGCAAAGGAGGATGTTTCATGGATCAAGGTCTTGCATCCTGGGGATGCCAGTGGTTTTCCCCAAGTTCAGATCGCAAGTTCTGGAAGGAGCTAAAGGCAGAGTTTCTGTCCAGTTGTGTGCAGTTTCCTTAAGTGGAGGAGAGTTTCTGAAGTTCAGGCCAGCTCCAGTCTCTTAAGTGTACAGCAGATTAGGTGCTTTTCCTCTGTGCTTTTACAGATCTGTGTCCCAAAATTCTTCTGTGCTACATGAAGAAGACGATGAGCACTCCTGTAGTGAGTCAGAGACTCAGCTCTCTCAGAGACTGTCAGCTCAGCATCCTGGAGAGGTGACTAGCTTTCTTTTCTTCTCTGGGTGCTGGCACCGGGCACCCGTCCACACAACTCCTTGGTCTCCTTATTTCACCTGTTCACTAGACCGTCTGTCACCCTGTACTACAAGGTGACAGCTGTAGAGGTTTCCTGAGATCCATGAGTTCCCCATTTATGGAGCCTGTTTGCCCCCAGCCCTGTCCTGCAGGAAACCACAAAATGTCTGCCCTGGTGGCACTGACGGCTTGTAAGTAGGGTGAGGGTGGACATGGACAGTGAGTTAACATATGTGTGGATCAGAATGTCACACGGGGAAGGGAACCTCGGGACGAGAAGTAGAATTGCCATTTCAACATTGGTCCTGGAACAGGTATCTAAGGAGGTGAGAGCAAGGTGCACAGACATCTAAGAGGGGTCTAGGTGCAAGAAAGCAGTAGAAATGTACAAGGGGGGGTGTGCTGCAAGGCCAGTGGTGTGATGGGAAAAGACTGGAATTTTCTACCCTATACATCCTCCACACAGACTTTACTTAGAATTTATTATCTGTCTGCTGTACTGGCCACTTAAAAACAAGAATGTGTTCCATCATATCTAGTTGGGACAGCACTTGTACTTAAATACCAGGACTATATGTGTGGTACATTGTCACTGCCTAATAAGTACTTGCCAAATGAATGCATTAGTGGAGGAGGGGGGCTGCAGCATTGAGACAGGGTCTCATGTAGCCCAAACTGGCCTTGAACACTCTGTGTAGCTGAAAATTACCTTGAACTCCTGATCCTCCTGCCTCCACCTCCCATATGCTAGGTAGGATTACAGGCGTGCACTAACATACACAACAAATTAATTTTAACTGTAGAAAATAACATGACTTGGGCTGGAGAGATGGCTCAGCAGTTAAGAACACTGGTTGTTCTTGCAGAAGACCTGGTTCAAGTCCGTAGCTCCAGTCCCAGGGGATCCAACAGCCTCTTCTGACCTCCGCAGGCATCGCACGACACGGGTGCACTTACCTACATTCAGGGAATACGTAAATACACATTAAATAAAAATAATAAATAAAAATTTAAAAAAAAAAAAAAAAAGAAAATAGCATGACTCGATCAGGTGTTGTTGGTTGGGTTACCACCTGGGTTCCCGGCACTAAGGAGGCTAAAGCAGAGGGATCCCAAATTTGAGGTTGGTTTTGGACACATAGTGAGTTCAAGGCCAGCCTGCTGCTGAGAGGGGGGTGGGGAGAGAGGGAGAGGGAGAGGGAGAGGGAGAGGGGGAGAGAGAGAGAGAAAGAGAGAGCGCCAAAACAGTACAGTCGTATGCAGTTTTCTTAAGTGGAGGACATCAGAAAAAATGTTATGGAGGGACAGCATTTGGCTGAATCTTGACGTTTTTTAGACCTGAGAGGAAGGGAGCAAAGCATCCAGATGAAGGCTTGGAGCAGGCCAGGGATACAGAGAGGGCTCTGCCTCACAAAGGCCCCCTGACAGTCGTGTGTGAGAGACCAGTAGGAAAGTCAGGAAAACTCTCGGTAGCCCAGGCCTGACCTAAGGTGAAAGAAACCTGCCTGGAAGCTGGGAGCAGATTAGACCTTTGCATCCACCCTGGATGGTGAGGCTGTGCTCAGGGGACTGACAGGTGTGGGCAGAGGTGGTAGTTGTTCAGATCAACCGAGCAGGAACTCACCCAACTTCCATGTGGAGATGTCCTGCAGACAGTGAGGTCCCTGTTGGTTTCGAGTTCTTTTCCTTCTGGAGGAGAGCTGTTCATAATCCTGGGGAAACCAGGGATGTCCCTATGTGACAGCTGCTGGGTGACCTGTGTCACTGGAGCTGCAGCCTTTGTATGCCCAGCAGATGCTGGGCCTCAGGCAGGAGGTGTTGACTGAAGTGTGTACTCCCCTGGGAGAAAGTCACTCCAGGATCCTGGCTGAAGAGGAGTGCTGACAACAGAAGCCAGCACCACCTCCTGTGTCACTCATATCCACCAAAAGAGAAGACCTGGTCCCTCCCTTTCCTGCTCTTAACCCCTCCTTCCACACACTAGGCTTGTACTTACTCTCTGCCCCATTGTGTCCCTCATTCTAGGAATGTGGCGTGACTCCAGAGAGTGAGAACCTCACCCTGTCGTCCTCAGGGGCTGTTGACCAGTCATCGTGCACAGGGACTCCACTCTCTTCCACCATCTCCTCCCCAGAAGGTACCTGAGGAGCAGGGAGCAGCTGCACGTGCCTACCCTCACCTCATCCTCCAGCGATGGGAGCATTGAATGTCTAAGCTGGTGACTAAACAGGCCCCACTGAAGAGGGAAGGGCTCTTAGTACCCTCCTGCCATCACCAGTCTTCCTCAACACTGTAGCGGGAGAAGCAAACCCCTGGTCCTTGAGTTTCAGTTCTGTTCTAGTTTGATTTCTGTTGTTATGATTAAAAACTAACCAAACCCAACTTAGGGGAGGAAAGGGTTTATTTCACCTTACAGCTTACAGTCTATATCAAGGAAAACCAAGGCAGGAACCTAGAGGCAGGAACTGAAGCAGAGACCATGGAGAAACGCTGCTGACTGACTTGTTTCCCCATGGCCTGCTCAGCCACCCCTTCTATATAGTCCAGGCTCACCTACTCAGGGATGGTACCACCCACAATGGGCTGGGCCCCTACATCAACCAGAAGTCAAAAACTGCCCCACAGACAAGCCCACAGGACATTCTGATAGAGGAAATCCCTCAGCAAAGTTCCCTCCTCCCAGGTGTCTCTAGTTTGTGTCAAACTGACAAAAACTAACCAGCAAGTTCCAGACTCTAAAATATAGAGGAAGAGGATCTTAGAAACCCTTCAGTTTAAACCTTTTTTCAGGAGAGGACAAGGTGAGGCCATTGTACTCTTCTTGTGACCAAGTACAGGAAGTATTGCTCCTCAGTAAACTTGGTCCTATCTCCCTCCCCCTATGCCTTCTCCACAGACCCCGCCAGCAGCAGCCTGGCCCAGTCAGTCATGTCCATGGCATCGTCCCAGATCAGCACTGACACAGTCTCTTCCATGTCTGGTTCCTACATCGCCCCTGGCACTGAAGAGGAGGGAGAGGCCCTCCCTTCCCCTCGGGCTGCCAGGAGAGCCCCCTCAGAAGAGGGAGAGGTAAGGGAAGTCACTTGAATTGGCCTTACTCTGTGCTTCATGCATGGATCCAAGACAGCTTAATAAAGGGTCTACCAGGGGTGGCTGCAAGGCTCAGGGCTGGCTGGGAAGGCATTCCCTTAGATCTGGCTCTGTACACCACTTCTGTGCTGAGGAAAGCTTGAGCTTGGGTTTGCTGTCATGAGAGCCCATGATGACTGTACCCTTGAGGTTTGTTGCTCTTTTGCAGGGGACACCAGCAGAGTCTCCAGATAGCAATTTTGCTGGCCTTCCAGCTGGAGAGCAGGATGCAGAGGTAACCTGGGTGGCAGGCAGTATGACCCCTTCCCACAGCCAGAGGAACTCCTGGTGTTGACTGGGAATGCCTGTGACAGAATACTGGAGAAGCCTCCTAGGTGGCATGCCTAGATCAGTTAGAAGGGGAGCATGGGTAGAGGTGAAAGCAGCCTCATGCTCTGGCCTAGGCCCTGTCCTCTTACCAGGAAACACTGGTTCTAATGGGATCCATGGGGAATGAGTGCAAGAGGGACCTTTCTGTGCCAGACCCGGACAAGGCCTTGGGACTATGTTGCCTGTCAAGTATCTGGTTATATTTATACAGAGTGGCTGGATCTCTGGTGCTCCCCAGCTTGGGGCGCACAGAAGCCCAAGTGAGGTTCTGCCTGCCCTACTCTCAGCACTGCATCAGTGAGCCTGTGCAATGGCAGATAGGGTTGTAGCTCAGGGACGGGGACGCCCTGGCCATGGTACAGACCCACTACTGTGTGGTCCAGACTTCACTTTTGCTGTCAGAGATCCTCTCAGGATAGTGTTTGGCCCCTAAGGAGTTTCTCGAAGTTAGAAGTTGTTTTGGTTTTTTTTTTATTTCATGTGTATGACTGTTTTGCCTGCTTGTATGTAAGTGCACTATGTTTGTGCAGTGCCTGCAGAGGCCAGAAGAGGATGCCAGATCCCCTGGAACTGGAGTTACAGATGGTTAGCCACCATGTGGGTGCTGGGAACTGAACCTGGGTCTTCTGCAAGAGCAGCCTGTGATCTTAACCACTGAGTTATCTCTTCAGTTCCTCTGAACGTTTTTTGATTCACTATTTGCTTTTGTGCTTTTCTTAAAGATAGGGCCTCACTATATATCCTTGGCTGGCCTAGAACTTGCTATGTAAACTAAGCTGGCCTCAAACCGGGGGTGGGGGTGGTCATCCTGCCTCTGCCTCCTGAAGGATTGCAGGCATGTGTCCCCGTGACTGGCTTCAGTTTGGCCTTTTCTTTCTTTCGCTTGAGACAGGGTCTTCCTGTAGCCCCAGCTGTCCTGGAACTCACTATGTAGACCAGGCTGGCCTCAAACTCACAAAGATCCACCTGCCTCTGCCTCCCAAGTGCTGGGATTAAAAGGGTCTGCCACCATACCTGGCTTTCTTTTTAAAAACATTTTATTATTGTATGTGTATGAGTGTTTGCCTGCATGCATGTAAGCCCATCCATGTCATGCAATGCCCACAGAGGTCAGAAGAGAGCGTCGGGTCCCCTGGAACTGGAGTTACGTATGGATGGTTGTTAGCTACCATATGGGTGCTAGGAATCCAACCCAGGTCCTCTGCAAGAGCAGCCAGTGCTCTTAACTATTGAGCCATCTCTCCAGCCCCTGGCTTTTTTATTTAACAACTTTTACTTCTCCCTTGTGTTCAGCTATGGTGCAATGAGGTATTCCTGCCAACCTGCTCAGTACATACCTGCGGTATAGCTCAGACCTGAGACCTAGTTGAACAAGGCTCTCTTGGCTACCTTAGCACATTAAACACAGGCAGGAAGTACATGCTGTGGATGTAGGCCACGAAACTAACTAGTACAGGGATGGCTTGTTCTGTCTTCAGTAGGTCACTTGATCCACTAAGTGCTTTATAGACTCATGGGGCCTTTCTTCTGTCCTAGGGAAATGATGTCATAGAGGAAGAGGACGGATCACCCATACAAGAAGATGGTAAAAGATCTGTCCTTGCTCCCTCCCGTTGTTGCTTTCCTAGGTATTCTCTAAGGGGTAAAGAAGTGCAAATCCATGACAACTTGATGGTAGTGTTCTGCTTGCTGTATGGCTGGGATGGTTAAGAATCTTCATGGTATATCAGGAAACAGGATATCAATAACCTTAGTGACATCCCTGCTCCCCGTAGGACTCAGTTCTTCTTGGAGATCAGGATGAGGGTGCTGCAAAAGACAGACCTCTCTTTCTGCACCCACATCTGCCTCCTGTGGCAGCTCTTCAGCCAAGCCCCGCACTGGGGCGGCAGCAGCCATCTCTTCTACACGGGAGGCAGAACTGCTTGGCAGCTTGTCTGGTTCTGCGTAGTGGAGAAAATCTAAGAGAGGAACTTCAGAAAGCAGCAGACGTGCTAAGGGTATAGCTGAGGACACGGGAATTTCTTCAGCAGCTCTGCCTAGGCAGCACTCTCTAGGCCTCAATTTTGTCTTCAGAATTTTGTTTCTTGTAAATCTGGAAAAGAAGGCATGCCTTGCAGGGTTAGGAAGGAGGAAGAGGAGGAAGAAGAGAGGGTCAGAGAAGTCACACCACCTGTCCCAAGAGCCTCAGACCCTCTCCCCTCTGCTCGGGGGGCACCTCCGGAGCACACGCGTGTCAGGGCCTGGATACAGTTGCACCAGCAGAGGTCATCTAGTTGCTTCTGCTTCCACGCTGGCCATTGCTTCAGGGGCATTGGGTAGTGTCAGGTGTGCATGGCGACTTGACAGTTCCCACTGGTTATAGGCTCAAAGACAGGAGCCTTAAGGCCAGCCCTCTTGTGCCTCAACATCTGCCCAGGGCTTGAAGCTTTACTGCCTTTGTAGATATTTCAGAGCCTGAGGCTTCCAAGTCACCCTGGGTGATGGTTGCCCTGAGGAACATTTTCTTCTAAGTTCAAGGTGGCCAGGTTGTTGCCACCCAACTTCCCATAGCCCACACCAAGGAAGAAAGGGAGAGCTCAAAAAATGACTTCTGCCACATCCCGCCCCCTCAGGCTTCTGGAGTCTGCAGGCTTCTGGAGAGTCACTGAAAACACACTCAGTCCCTTGAGAGTAAAACATAATTTTGTGAATTTTGTGCATCATTCTGATGCGATAGGCAAAATTATGGACCCTAAGGCTGTTAGTTGTTTTGTGTGTATCATTTTGCAGAATCTTTGGTTATAAGCACATCCTGCACACACCTGAGCCTCAGGCATGAGCAGGGTTCTGTCCCCCTGGCTTTTTCCAGCTTCTGTCACCCACAATGTCATCGGCCTGGACTGGATGCAGCTGCCTTTTGCAGTGATCTGTCAAGCCTGCACGCCGCAGCAGTAATCCAACCTATCAGGGAACAGCAGCTGGAAAGGAGAACCCAGACATGCCACTCAATTCAAGTCCTTTTTTTTTTGTCCACGCTTTACTCAATTATTGTTTTTTCTTTCAACATATGATTTTATTTATTTATTTGTCTCCATCCTTAAGATTTTTATTTTAAGGACAGCAAAGTAGAGAAAAACACAGATAGCCCATCTAACTGCATTAACTCCGTTACAGGCCAGAGGACATGCGCATTTCTAGGTATGGAGTGTGACAATAACAATGACTTTGACATCGCAAGTGTGAAAGCACTGGACAATAAGCCGTGCTCTGAGGTCCGCTTACCCGGTGAGTGGCAGTCTGCTAAATATGAACTTGGTGGGAGACATCCCTCTGCTCTTACCCTGCTCTCCCCATGGTACACCCATCTCCTGCCCTGCAGTTCCTGCCAGGAAGGCCTGGGGTGTGCTAAGGTGCTGGAGACCAGCTACTGAGAGGAAGTGAGGGCCCTCCAGGATAGCCTTGAGCTTGATGCAGAGAGCAACTCCTATACTGAGAATATCAGGATAGGAGGAAAGGGACAAAAAGTTGGCCTTACAAATTGGCCAAACTGTAGCCTTTCCATAACACTCTTGCAGACACCACCAGGTGGCCGGTCTTGTTTCCATCCTCAGGAAGCCTGAGCAGACAAACACTTCCCCATGAAGGTCTTGGAAAGGTAGCCTGAGCTCTTTAAAGTGTAAGAAACCATAGCTCCTCAAGTGACATTTGTTTGAGGGTCAAAAAGGAATCCAAAGCCAGCATTTTATAGGCCAGTGATGGCTTTGTGATCCAGTGAGCCTTAGGTTACTGTTTGTCACACATGCTAGATTTGGATCACGGAGGAGAAGCCAGAGGGCAGGGATGACTTGATTCTTTGGATGGATCCCCAACTTTTTGTTGCCTATTCGTGTTCATGATCTCAGAGTGAATCTGCAAAACAGTCATGTTAATCACACATTCAAGGCCAGGCATGGTGACATACACCTGCAATCCCAGCACTCAGGAGGCAGAGGCAGCAGGATCACTACAAATTCCAGGCCATTCAGGGGTCCATAGCCAGACCCTGTCTCAAAATAAAATCACACATTGAGCACTGACCTCAGTATGCTCACTCAGCAGCTCCGAAAACCACTTCCTAAAAGCCTTCCCCAACTACATGGTCAGATGTCCCAGCTGGTTTCACTACAGAGCTTGTCTTTTGTACTGTGCTGTTTGTAGTCCTCCAACGGCCCCTGAATGAAGACCTGCCTCAGAACAGCCACTCCTGGATCCAGTGCTTTATCGCTCAGCAAAGTGACTGGAGGTGTTGGAGCCACAGGACCTCCTGTGGTTGCCACTCTCCTTCAGCCTGTGCCAGACATGGTCCCAGCAGGCCCTGGCTCCATGCAAGCCTGTGGCAAGGGAAAGGCAGTTGCTCAGGAGAAAGTTTCTCCAACTTTTCCACGGGCACTTCAGTCATTCTGTATTTAATTTGTCCAAAGATGCTGCCCAGGTCTCAACCTTCAGTGAGGCTAAGAAACAGTATTAGTTCACCTGCTTCTCCCTTACAGGCCTGGGCACACTCCCTTCCTGCCTGAACATGGTGGAGGGCCCTGATTTGCATGGCCGCCTCCTGCCCAGTCAAGCCTAGACTGGAGCTGCTGGAGACCAGGCACTCTCACCCCCTGCCTCCCACACCTGATCTTGCTTTCATTTGTCCATCCATATTTCATGTCTTTTTGCCAAATGCAGATCTGTATGTCTGGTTTATTTTAAAGTCATTTATGTTCTGTGACTCGTGTGAAAGTTCATGTTCACTCTGTGCCAGCAATCTTCTCCTGCCTCTGCTCAGCCTGACACCAAGCTTGCTGGTGTGTGCACTTCAAGGCTCTCACTTAGGGCTATCGACAAGCTTTCAGGTCCTAGTTGGCAATGGCCTGTGTTCAATATGCTGAGATTTTTCAAGAAAAAGTATTTATGGGATTATATTCATTTCTGGTCATCAAAAAGGGCATGCTTCAGTGGTAAGGACTCCTGGGTTCATAGGGTGAGGGTGGTGCCTGTACTTAGCTCTGCCTGTCTGTGGTGGCTCTCTGCTGGCCAGCCTCTCTTCATGGGCTCCTACTCCCAGCCCTGCTTTTGGCAGAGGGAGCTGCTGGCAGCTGTTGGAGTCAACAGTGCCATGGAAACAGCTTGTTCTTTCTGCTTCTTCCTCTTCCAGCCTCACTTTGGCCAACCTGCTTGTCAATACATCTTCACTTCGGGGAGTATACGGGATAGCAGAAAGTCCGAAAATGAAGGAAGCAAGCTTGGGGTTCTTAATGGTAACTTCTAGAACCAGCAGTTTTGAGATTAAACTAGGTCCCCAGTTTGACCAGACATGAAATCAGTCACCTCTGGCAGCTGTCAGGAGAGAGACTCGGATATAAATAGCACTTTAAGTGTCCCTTCTATCCTCCACAGAGGTCTGAGGGCTCTTGCAGAGAGGAGATATGTTTACTCTCTTGACAAAACATCCCTCTCCTGCTTCTGTTGGCATCACACTCAGCAGACGTGCCTCCTGGGTCAAAGCCAGGAGAATCTACTGGGTAGGTCCCTTGGACTAACTGTGCCTCTTCACACTGACCTGTGCAGTCAAATTCCCATCCTACCTTGAGATAACCACAAGCTGGCTAGGCTCCTCACTATATCCTGAATAGTGTTCTTTTCCATCAGGATCACTTCTCACATACCTGCTTCCTGCTTGAGTCTGTCTCCCTCTTCAAGTGGGTGCCACCCACTTCATGAAGGATGGAGAGTACAGGCCAGAGAAGGCCAGAAAGAATGCAGAGTGCTTCCCTGGACCATGTGCACTTGCCACTCTGCCAAGAAACCCGTTTGTGCAGGCGTTTAGAGGGGCTTGTGCCATTCCACTCTCCTCCTAAGAACCTGCAGGACTCCAGTGGCCCCAAGACAGAGTAGATTTCTGGGTCTTCATACTAGGGATAGGCATATTCTTAGATTGCTCCTGAAGGGTTCTCAAAGTGGGTAATCTAAATGGACAGTGTAGGTGTAAGAATTAGAAATCATGACCATGCTGAGCTGGCATGGCTCCAAGAATGTGGTGGCATATTACATAGGAGGCAGAAGAGTGATGAGGGGTGCTAAGAGTTCTTGGAAGGCCCCAGGTAGCACGCATGATGGAAAAAGGCAAAGATAATGGTTTTTAGTGAAACTGTAAGCAAAGTTTTAAGGGTAAAGATTTATATTTCTAATCTTTTAAATAGATGTGGGGTGTGGTGGTGCATGCCTTTAATCCTAGCACTTGAAAGGCAGAGGCAGGTTGATCTCTGTGAGATCAAGATGTGTGTATGGAGGACTTATATGCAAAAAAGGTGTCAGATCCCCTGCAGCTGGAGTTACAGGAGGTTGTGAGCCACCTAAAGTGGGTCCTGGGAACCAAACCCTAGTCCTCTGTACATTCTCCAGCTTCCAAAATGCAAGCAGTGTTTATATGACTGCCGTAAAAGGGTGCACCTGGGCAATGAAATCTAAAGATGCAGATGCAGACCTGAAGTCCAGTCCTCCTCTCTTCAAACCTCCTAATGTTGTTTTCTTTGTTTCTTCTTTCTTTCTCTCTCCCTTCCTTCTTTCCTTCTCTCTCTCCTCTCTCTCTCTCTCTCTCTCTCTCTCTCTCTCTCTCGGGGATTTGTTTTTTGTTGGGTTTTTTTTTTTTTTTTTTTTTTTGTCTTTTTGAGACAAGGGTCTCTCTGTAGCCCCAGCTGGCCTGGAACTTGCTGTATAGACCAGGCTGGCCTCAATCTCACAGAGATCCACTTGCCTCTGCCTCCCAAGTGCTGGGATTAAAGGCATGCCACCACACTCGGCTAGCCTCCTAATGTAATATTAAGATGCTTCCTACCAGGTATGGTGGCACACATCTTTAATTCCAGCACTTGGAGGCAGAGGCAGGCAGATCTATGAGTCCTGGTCTAAACAGTGAGTTCTAGGCCAGGCGTGGCTACGTAGTAAGACCCTATCTAAAAGCGGGGAGGTTTCAGGAATGTTTGCAACAGTGGGAAGAAAAGAAAGGGGAGGGAGGGAGGGAGGGAGGGAGGGAAAGAAACAGATTCTTCAGGAATGTTTACAGCAGTGGGAACTAAGGGAAAAACCAAATTACAATTATTTTCCCTGGACAGAAACTATAAGTACATTTGAATTCTTATACTGCTTAAATTTAATCAGTGGAGCTGGGTATGATGGCTCACACCTTTAATCCCAACCTGGAGTTCCAGGCCAGCCAGAACCCCAGGGAGAGACCTGTGTCAAAAAGACCAAAAAACAAAAAAACCCTCTGATCCATGGATTGGAAGAAGAGCGTCTGCCAAACCTCCTTAAGTGTGCTCCCTAAATCTGTCTCCAGAGCTCGGCTCTTCCCATTTGTGATTCCCCACTGCCCCTCTCCCTAGAGGGAGTTCAAGTCTGGAAGCTTCATTTTCCTGCCAGAGGGTCTGGATTCAACCAGCCCCCAGGCCACACTCGCTGGGGACATCCCCTGGTAGCCAGGCCACCCTCTGAGTGGGCTGTAGAGGGGCAGCAGCAGGGCTGCTATGAATCCTTTGGATTCTTCCAGGGAAAAGGAAGCCTCATTCTTCCTCCACACCTGCCCTTCACTCTAGATGGCCCATCTGAATCCTAGTCTGTTCTACAAGGAGCTGCCTACAGCCCTGGCTAGAGCTCCTGGGATGGCAGGTTCTGAATAAGGAGGACTCCTGTGAATTTGGTCAGGACAGCCCTCCTGGGCAGCCTCAGGCCCAGCATCTCCTGATGTGCCAGCAGCAGTGGCCTTGGCGGTGGTGATGTGTCTGCTGCAGTTTTTATTTCTGCATGCATGTGCGTCTTCTCTCTTGTTTACTGTTTGCTTTTGGTCTTTCCTACTGAACAGCCGCAGCTCCGGAGTCCTGCCCCATAAACATTGAGGAATAGGTATGACATCTACCAAATTCTACACATGAACAAGCAACTCTTTTTATCTGGGGTTCCTAACTGAACACACCCTGATAGTCCTCTACCACTCAGAGGGAAAGAAGCACTTTCCTCATGTTCCAGGGACAGGAGAGCCCATGGGCAATTTGGGTGTGAAGGACTCTATGAGACCTTCCTGTCACCTCTCCTTTGTCGGGGTTCCACCATGCTTTGCTGCTATAGTCTCAGGATAGACTCCCACACTGGAACATTTATGAGGAATGAACAGGACACCTGCTTCCTCCAAGCAGGTCTACCACCAATAGGCTTTGAGTCTTAGGCTAGCTGGATCTGAGGCTGACCTTGGCCATGTATGAGATGGCCTCAAGACCACACTGTAGAGTTAGCTTGCCTCACTCACTAGAGAAGCCTCCCCACCAGGCCGGGCATTTTGCTGAGCTCTGAGGTGCAGTAATGTATCTGTCGTGGTCCCTTCAGGAGTGTGCCTAACAGAGTAAAAGGACCAGTTTCTTTATAAGGGGAAGAGAGTGAGCTCAGGCTGCTGAGGAGCACACAGGGCCTTGCCCAGTTGCAAGGTACCTTCTAAAATGAGGCCTCAGATAAAATACCTTACCTAGGGGCTGGAGAGATGGATTAGCGGTTAAGGACACTGACTGTTGTTGCAGAAGACCCAGGTTCAAATCCCAGAACCCACATGGCAGCTAGCAACTGTCTGTAACTCCAGTTCCAGGGGATCCGATGGCCTCTTCTGTGCTCCAAGGACATTGCACAACACGGGTGCACTTACCAAATGCAGGTAATACATTCATACACATAAAAATAATATATATTTTTATTTTATGTGTATGAGTGTATTGCCTGCATGTATGTGAGTACACCCGTGTTGTGCAGTGCAGAGGAGGTCAGAAGAGAGCTTCGGATTCCGCTGGAACTGGAGTGAAGGACAGTTCGTAGCTGCCATGTAGGTGCTGGGAATTGAACTCGGGTCCTCTGCAAGAGCAGTCAGTGCTCTTAACCACTGAGCCATCTCTCCAGCCCTGAAAAAATATGTTCTAATTTAAATTTTTTTAAAAAAACCAAAAATAATAATAAACCTTACCTAAAACCCCCAGGAGAAGCTTCATCCCCAGGCTGGAGGTACTAAGGCCCTACATGTCACTGCACAAGGACCACCAGCTGCCCTGGGGAGATGCAATGGGGATCCACCCCATTAGCTAGAAGACAGGCAAAGGGAGACCAGGGACACATGAGGGTGGCCCAAACAAAGCTGGTGGGAAGTTGGTCACAAGGCATATTCCTCTGAGTCAGGTACACTGCTTGGCACATGCATGTGGCCTCACCTCAGTCCTCACAGCAAACTTCCCATAGAAAGCCAAGGCCTGAAGTAAAGTCACTTGCCAAAGTTCACACCATCAATACAATACAAACTGGGCATGAGGCCCAGGAAGGCAAGATGCAGATGTGGATGTAACTAGGAAGTGAGCAAGCAAGGTACTGGTTGGATGCAGAGCATGAGGCAGAGGGGCAGCAGGGGTGAGTTTCCAGTCTGGGTGCAGGGGCAGCCAAGGACTAGGAGAGGGGTGAGTATGGGAGTTTCACCTCTAGGACCCCAGGGCTCTCAGGTGCAGGGGAAGGGTCCTGGAGTACCAGTTTCTCCTACCCGAGGCCTTCCGGAAACCCTTGGCACCTTGCTATGCTGTCAGGCCTATCCCATCCTCTGGCTCCCCCAGCAAACACAGGCTGTGGGCCAGAAGAGGCATGTTCTTCTCCCTTCCCTGGAGGAATCAGCTCAGCTAGTCTGAGTTTCTTTCCCCTCATCCACATAGCATAGGGTTAGCCTAGACCCAAATAGTTAAGGTGCAGAGCGGAACCTAGGGTAAGTTCATGAACAAGGAACATCTGTCATGACCACAGGCCACAGAGGCAATGACTGTGCCTAGTTCAGGTAGGTGTGAGCAGCCCTGGCGCGTCAGCACCTGCTTCTCCCGGCTCTTTCCCTCATGTGGCTTGTGCCCTCAGGAGCTTCAGAGCACACATGTCTGCTAGCCTCTGTCAACTCTGGTGCTGCCCTACTGGAGACACCAAGCAGACTTGGCCTAAGTCCTAGCTCCCGTAACCTTCAGTTTCTCTTCTCAAGGTTCCTGGCAGCCAGAAGACAACATTGTGAGCCGTCGGAACACCCAGCACCAGTGCTTATCATCTGGCAGCCTAGAGGACCCTGAGGAGAACAGGCCTTGTGTATGGGATCCTTTGGCTGTCTGAGGGCGCCTGCCCCTGTATCTGGGCTCCCCTCCTGACCTTGCATCCAATCCATGCTCACTGGACCACAGGTCTGGGCATCTTCAACAAGACACGGGGACTTTATACTCACATGAAGGCTGGACCTGGAGTACAGCCCTCTGCCAACCTCATCTCCTATAACCAAGATCCTTGCCCTCTCAGAACTGGAAGCCCTCCTCTGCATGGGCTGATACCATGAACTGTAGCTCGTGAGGCCCTTCTGAGACTGGACAGCACCCACCAAGCCTGATGGTTAGCTTGGGCTGAGACCAGAGGCTGGCTCTTCAGCTTTCCTCCTTGGGACCAAGCAGAGTTTTGGCAGCGGGTGTCTTGACAGTTTGCAGCTTCTGGCACCTCGTAACCAATTTTAAATCTACAACCTGGGGTGGTTGGGAGATTGGCTCCCATGAGAAAGAAAGGCCACCCTGAACTCTGGACGCTCGAAGCACCAGGAGCTCCTTTCTCAAGGACAAGGGAGATGGTAGCGACCAAAGGGTTGGTTGAAAGCCAGTTTTCTGGTAACAGAACTGGTCTTTTGCGCCTCATGTGCCTGTCTGCTGTGGACAGGGCCCTAAGTCTGAGGTCCCCGTTAGGGTGACAACCCTTCCAAGACCTTGTCCTCCTCAGGTGCAGTCAGGAAGGCTCACGCCTCCACCCAGCAGTGATATTGCAAGAAATGCATTGCTGGGCCACTTCCATGAGCAGTGCTAGGCTCACCACTGCTACCATGTTTCATCTTCACTAAAACCACTGAGATGGAGTCTCAAAGCCAACTACCCTTTCTCTACTCTTCCCCCCTGCCCCCCCCCCCCCG